GTTAGTCATGGAGTTAAGAGTGATTTACACTATAGTTAACAAAAACTACCTCAGTAATCATAACTGCCTTATAGTGATATTAAAAAATTAAAACTGCCTTACAATGTAATATTTTCTCGAAAATATTTATCGCTCCACTGGCCAAGGAAATCCCCTTACGCAGATCTAAACTGAGTGAGATTATTATTATTTAAATGCTTGTTTCATAAGGAAACCGGTAACAAATTATTTCTAACGTAAACGCTAACCCAGTAACCGTATCGTTTATAAATATATGAATTATGTACTAAACTCTAATTTAGGTCCATAAACTTTTTATCGTTTCCCCATACCTAAATTTTTATAGGAAGACCAAAAGGATAAACACACAATCTCGATAGAAATAAGTATATTTTTAAAATATTTTATGTTTGAAATATTCAAACAAAAACACCACTTAAACCGGATAAAAATCCATCGGTGTTAACAGCACCAAACAAAAATCAAAAGATGCAAAGAAACTAAGTTTATCAAAACATCATGTGATGAGAAATAAGTAAACATAATTATAACCAAAAGAGATTATAACCAAAGGTGCTCAATTGATGCAAATACAGAATCCAAATAAAGAAGGAAACAGAGCATAGTCTTAATTAAAACAAAAACAGAACCATAAAAATTATCAGCCACGTTTGGCACGCTTAGCCCCTCCTATCTCAATCCCAGCAGAAGACCTCTTCACCATCACATCTCCAGCTTCACCAGTTTCATCAGCAGGTTCGTCATCCACGTTTTCCTCTACGTTGGCTCCAGGTTCTGGAGCTTCAAGAGGAAGGACCTTGGTCACAGTCAAGGCATGTGTCTTGCCGGTCAAGTTGTGATCTGACACCGTAACAATGAACTTGCGAGTTTGCCAAATGGTGTCAATAAGAGCTTGCGGTAGTGGGACTATATGTTCACTGCCTATGCCCTCATTCGCCTAGTTTAGATAATTTCAGGTTGGTTGGACTTCCGTGTCAAAAAACACATGGGAGGATGATAGAGAGGAGATAGATAGAGCACCTGTAAGGTAAATAATGTTATAAAACAATCAGTAATATATTTTCTCACCACAAAAGATAACAACCCTAATCATAACCTAAACTAACCAACCCAAGACGTCCCACACGCACCCTTTTAAGACCACTAAGCTCAAAAAAATAATTCACCAATAATGTAAGTTGGTACAAACCTCCAAACGTTTCGGGTTCACAGTGTAACCAGTATAACCACAGGTGTCTGTCCACGAGCTTTAAATTTCTCACATAAGTTAGTAGCAGCCTTGTCCCATCGGTATAGTTTCATCACAGGACCACTATAACAGACCAAATAACATTTAATAAGTAAAATTATATATGTCTATATGGAGACATTGACAAGCACTTACCCATGTGTTTGAACATGAAGTAAGACTCTCCGGTTATATGTCTAACTTTTAATATTGTACCATAAGACCATCCTACCCAACATATTCTAACGCCTTAAACTGAACAAACCAAACATAATTTAACCAAACCGTGACAGGTAACGTTCATCACAAGGAAACCCAACCCAGAGATCTAATAACTAATTTACTAAAGAAACGGTGACGTACTAAGAAGATACAAAATACCAAGAGACTAACATCACATTACTAAAGTGAACATGCTCACAACATTAATAAAGAAAAGCTCACCGTAAAGATCTCCTTTAAGTCCACAGTCCGCATCAAACTCCTCGTATCCATGAAATCGGAAACTATCTTCAGGAAAACGATCCGAACTGTTCTCTAAAGAAGAAAGAACAGAATTCCATGAGAAAGTAATAGTGACTCTTGGCTCAGCAACCCGGTAGATAATCTTGCTCTTAGACCCATAGAACTTGTTGAGTCGGTAAATGGAACCAGGCACCATATGTGGCAAATAGGTGTCAATCCTTCCTGGTGGAATGAACCCTTCGATCGCAGTACCCTGTTGAAAACGTCAAAAGAAAGACTGTTACAGTGTATAAACTGAATAAACCAAAACGGAAAGGAACAAAAAAAATAATCGAGTGCTACTACATAGTAAACTATAGAGCTTCTGTCCAGAGGCTAATATGGTTTCAGAGGTTAAATAGATCTCGTTTAGACCATACTTTCATTCTATAGGCATTTCTAATATCTGATTATTATAAATGTTTTCGATAACCAATCACGTTTACAATACGAATCATATTGAAAATTATAAATCCGATGAAAACAACATATATATATATATATATAAGTTAATAAAACGCCCCAAAAAAACATTCAGAGTTATAGGAAAAAACCTGCTCGTCTATGAGGAGCATTTCAAGGCCAATAAGTGTTTCGTGAGTGGGTTCCGCGCCTCCCAGAAGTGGATCAGCCGTAATCTCAACTCCTCTTCATGTGGTCCGAGATCCACATCTCTGAAGAACAACACTTGATCAGAGGAGACCACCGCCTTGCCATTCAGCTTGTCCGATGTAGACCCGCCGGAGGCAGGTTTGGAGGAAGAGAAACCCTTTTCCACGGTCTTATTAGTGATGGGCCTAACTCACACCCAAAAGATCATATCATTAATCGATGTGGGACTCTCTAATAGGTCTGATTGATCGGTATGGCAGAGGGTTGAACGGTATGGTTGGTTGTATCATTGGATGAGACATCGGGCTTAACGCTTGACTTTCCCGGCTTGAGATCACCAGAACCAGAAGATTTGACGATTGAATCCATCGCCGTCGTAATCAAAAGCTGCGAATAAATGAAAATCAGTGAGAAGGAGATGCAGATTTATATAGAAGAAAGGTAGGAGATGAAACGAACCCATTGATTGCAGAGGAAGTAAAGACGCATGTCGATCCATCATCCAAGCATTTTAGTATCAGAGGAGGCGAAGAGGAAGGAGAAACGATGATAACAATGAATGAGAGTATCGCTCTCTCAGTTTAGGGTTTGTCAAACCGGGCCAAATCACTTTGATAATAGACGCCACAAAACACAATAAAATAAAGAGTGATTTAGTGAACTACCCATATTTGAAGCTCAAATTAGCAAAATACCATTGATTGGACATGAAGGACACAGACATAACCATTTGGCAAGGAAATGCCGAAAATACCCTTTCTCTTTCCTCTCATTAACCCGAAGCGCAAAAACATTTGTTAACATATAACACTTCTGTTAACGTCTACAATATTTGTTAACAGCCAACACATTTATTACCGCGAAGCGTAAAAATAATTGTTAACAGTTAACACTTCTGTTAACGTCTACAATATTTGTTAACAGCGAACACATTTATTAACGTGAAGCGTAAAAATAATTGTTAACAACTAACACTTCTGTTAACGTTTACAATATTTGTTAACCGCTAACACGACATCGAATCTAAAACCCAGAAAATTGATATCACAAAAAAATTGAGGATTCAAAGCCACTTATGAAAAAATAATGAAATTTAAAATTTAATTGTATATAGAATGATAGAGATTTGTAAAATAATTAGGGATTGAAGAGAAAAAAAAGGTCAAAAAATTGAGGATTCAAAGTCACTTATGAAAAAATAATGAAATTTAAAATTTAATTGTATATAGAATGATAGAGATTTGTAAAATAATTAGGGATTGAAGAGAAAAAAAAGGGGGAAGATGTCAAAGAGTGGAGAGAGAGTGTAGAGAAGGGCAAAATGGTCCAAAGGAAAGTGATTGTCACATCATGGGCAAGTCTCTAATTATGGGTCCAAAAAGGGGTACGCTAACAAATTATCTCTAAAATAAAAGAGGCCCAAATCCAACAAAGATTTGCATACGTGGCGAAATAGAGCAATATGATAGGTTGAATATTTTGTCTGATGTGGCACCCTTCTCCATTGAGAGTCAATCCCTTTTATTATGGTTAGATTTGGTACTGTTGAATGATCAAAAGCTTCTCTTTTTTTGCTCAAAGTTTGCCTGTAAAAAACGTAGTTTCATTGAATATGTGTTAAAATAAGGAGTGATTAATTTATGCCACTAATTAATTATGTGTATAACTATTTACTCTTTCCTTTCGAATTAGTTGTTATTCTAGAAAAAAAATTGTTTTGAAATAAGTATCGTTTTAGAATTTCGAAACAAAATTTATTAGTTTTATATAATATTTTATTTTTTATTGGTTAAAAAGTGGTTAAATATATAGTTAATTGTGTTGTTATCTTAAAAATATGATTTAATTTGCGTATGAAAATTTAAAATGATAATTAAATTGAAACGAGAATTAATATGCATTTTCTTGAAAAGCATACAAAAGTGGAGCTGAGCCAATGTCCAAGAGGCAAGGACCAACACAACCACATTTGGTAATTATTATGGATTTGATTTTGACCCATCACCTAACATAAAAGGCACATGAAAAGCACGTGAGAAAAGGAAGTATCTGTCATCTGATGTTTGCCGTTAAGTCGAGCCGTTTACTCTTCCGGCAAATTAACCGCCGGTCGAGTGAGAAATTACTCCGATCATGCTTATTAAGTGAGTTTTACCATCTCCACTTTTGTATAAATAATTGAAAACATTTACGAAAGATTCAAAAAATATAATAATTGAAAGAAAAAATAAATACAATGATTTATAAATTTATTTTCATTACAATTTCAAATTTTTACAATTAAGAAATAAAATATATTGTTGATAAATTTGATTGATTTTCTGTTTTTAAGCTACCCAATATATTTTATAAACTTGTATAAATAAAAAATAGGTAATACATTTTGAAAAATGAATTATAAACATATATTTATAACAGTCAGCTTTGAGTACCAATCATGCTTTTAATTTTCTCTAAAGTAACAGTTAAAGCCTTTAAAACCAAAATCTCTACGGCCACAATTCTAAAGTCAAAGCCTAAAGCTTAAAGCTAAAGTCATTATCAATCGGACCCTCACTCAAAGAGCTATCTTACGTTGCAATTTCAGATATCTCGTCCTTGTCAAATTTCTAGCTCGGAACATCAAGTTAGGAGTATTGATTGGTATCCTTCAACTGCTGTCAGAACCTTGTTTTGTTTCGTGTAGTAGACAGTTCTTTAAGTCAACTTGATTGGTGGCGTTTCTCTCCATCTGGGATTATTAGTTCACCGGAACCCGGTTTAGGTGTTGAATTTGTTTAAACCGGTTTGATTTCTCCCGCACTAAATAAATCAATCAACAGTGGTGGTGGTGGCCTTTGTCAGATTCTTTTGCTGAAGAGCAGGAATGATGGTGGAGGTATCACTATCAACAGGAGGAAGAAATCATTTGGCTTTTGTGTTGCTCCTGGTTCTTGTCGTTGATGCTCCTGTCTTCGCTGAGGAGGTAACAAAGATTGATACTTTCATGGAAGAGTTTGCTTCTTGGTGTCTTCTTCTCTTTATATTCTCTGTTGGATTCTTCTGCTTAGTATATATAGTATGGAACTGAAATTATTAAGCTATTATGTTTATATGGTTCTCATTTCATGTGTGAAAGTTCTGAAACTTGTAGATGATGTCTCGGAGCTTTTATATAAAAGATGACATGTTCTGGAAAGATGAGAGTCCTTTCCAGATCATTGGTGGTGATTTTCACTACTTCCGAGTTCTTCCTCAGGTATTCTCCTCTCTCTCTCTCTCTCTCTCTGAAGAATTATTTATCTAGGTAATTAATTAGAGCTAGATTATGGATGCAGTACTGGGAAGATAGGCTTCTAAGAGCAAAGGCTTTAGGTTTGAATACTATACAAACATATGTTCCTTGGAATCTGCACGAACCAAAGCCTGGGAAGATGGTCTTTGATGGTATTGCTGATGTTGTCTCCTTTATCAAGCTGTGTCAGAAACTAGATTTGCTTGTTATGCTGCGTGCTGGACCTTATATCTGTGGAGGTTATGCTGTCTTAAATTTTTTCTGTTGTTGTGATTCTTATGAGCTGATTCCAACGTTATTACACAAACAAATGCTGATGTGTGTTCCGGTCTCTGTCACAGAATGGGATTTGGGCGGTTTTCCTGCTTGGTTACTTGCTGTGAAACCACCTCTTAAACTAAGGACAGCGGATCCTGCATACCTTAAGCTGGTAATTAGCTTGCAGTGTGCAATATTAGACTAGTTTTTATTCATTATGTCAAACTCTGTAGGATCCATTGGTAGTGTAAGTTAGATGGAAAAGTATTTAGTCTTTTCTGGAGAATGAGTTGAGAATAATTAAACATATCACAGGTTGAAAGATGGTGGAATGTTCTATTGCCAAAGGTATTTCCTCTGCTTTACAGCAACGGGGGTCCTGTGATAATGCTTCAGGTACGCACAGGAAAACAATGTTCCACTTCTATATGATTTATCCTGGTTTATTCTAGTGAATGTGGCATATGTACACTTTATAGTGATGTGTTGGCTTCTACTAAACCTGGAACACTATCTGAAGCTAGAGGCTGGCTCTTTTATGCTGGCAAGTTTATTAAGTCTAGGTTTTTTTTTGGCAGATTGAAAATGAATATGGATCATATGGAAATGACAAAGCTTATCTTCGTAATCTAGTGAATATGGCTACAGGACATCTGAGGAATGACATTATTCTGTAAGACTTTGTACATCTTCAACAATATGACAGTGGCTCAGTGAAAATAGATTGTGGAGTTGCTGTTAATGATCTTCAGGTATACAACAGATGGAGGCACAAGAGAAACACTTGAGAAAGGAACTGTCCCCTTATATGGTGTCTACTCAGGTAATAAAATTCACTAAGATGATTCCTTCTCTTATTCCTGATAAAATTTCATCATATGCATCTTCCGGATCCATGATTGATTGTAAACCGAAATAGTGGTTTATAAAAATGATAAAAGCAACTTCATCTTTGTAACAGCTGTTGACTTCTCTACGGGTGATGACCCTTGGCCGATTTTTGAATTGCAAAAGAAGTTTAATGCACCAGGAAGATCACCTCCACTTTCTTCGTAAGCCTCCTCTTGTGACCCTAACTTTCTAAAATGAACTAATATCTCGTTTCACAATCCATTGAGTTGTGTGATACAGGGAGTTCTATACTGGCTGGCTTACGCATTGGGGTGAGAAAATTGCAAAAACAGATGCTGAATTTACGGCAGCTTCCCTTGAAAAGATATTGTCCCGAAATGGTTCTGCTGTGCTATATGTATGTGCTTGATAATTTCATTTACAAATGTTTATAAGATAAATGATTAATGATGGATGTGACGTTTCGTGTATGTGATGTTCAGATGGTGCATGGAGGAACAAACTTTGGTTTCTACAATGGAGCGAATACTGGCTCTGATGAACTCGACTACAAACCAGATCTGACTTCCTATGATTATGTAATTTCACATTATTATAATTCTAAATTCTTAGACATGTTCTAAAGTATTTTTAGTTTTTGTTTTGTTTCTATATCAGGATGCTCCCATCAAGGAGTCTGGTGACATAGATAATCCAAAATTCCAAGGTTTGATGATTGCTTTTAGCTACCTACGGGTCTTGCTTTGTTTCCTTTATCAAACATTGTGTTATTTTTTTTGCAGCTCTCCAGAGAGTGATTAAGAAGTACACTGCTGCACCACGCTCCATTATCCCTTCCAATAAGAAACGGAAAGCGTATGGACCAATCAAGATGCAGAGGACAATGTCTCTGTTTGATTTGATGAGTATGACAGATCCTCTAGATGTGATCACTTCCCCCAACCCAATTTCAATGGAGTCTGCTGGACAGGTATGATTATCATTAGTCTTTTCCCCTTATATCTTGGAAATGCAGCTTAAGCACTTCCTTACTCAACATGGAATTGTCCTTTGTGTAAACTGATTCCTTATTATCTTGATCCCAGATGTTCGGGTTTCTTTTATATGAATCTTCCTATATTGCCAAAAAGAGTGGGAATATACTAAGAATACCCAAGGTGTAGACTGAATCCAGTGGCAATATATAAATGTAGTTTTTTCTTACATAATCATGGTAGAGATAGAATCCGGGAGACTTAAATCCAGGAGCAACATAAAGGTCATCTTCTAACATAATTTGGTTACAGGTTCATGACAGAGCTCAAGTGTTTGTTTCATGCCTTTCTCAAGATGTGGATGTGGGAGTACTGAGATACATTGGTACAACTGAGAGATGGAACAACCAACCTGTTTTTATTCCAACTACTGAGTGTACCTCTAACACTAGCGTATTTATTCTGGTAAGAGAATGAATCCAACAATAAGATTCTTTACCCTCTATGGGTGAGCTGTAGGATGTGGATTCATCCATTTGATAAATTTTCCGTCAACCACATCATGTAGGTTGAAAACATGGGACGTGTAAATTACGGGACATATATCTTTGATGAGAAGGTAAAGACTCATTTCACACAGTTATTATTCTCATTCATCTGATGCACTTTTCTTAATCCAGACAGCTCGTTCAAAAGGTCTGTTTTGTATTTCGTTCCAGGGTATTCTGTCTCCGGTTTACCTAGATGGTGAAATTCTCCGTGGATGGAAGATGATACCAATTCCTTTCCACAATTTGAATCAAATGCCACATTTCAGTTTCGAGATGCAACATACCAACAAGAGAAGTGAGAAGTTTGAGCTAACTAATGGTCAGTGCTCTGTTTATATTTTCCTGAGTAGACATTTGTTGGCTCAAACTTCTCTAATTTTTAAATAATAATTGTAGAAGTGGGTCAAAAGGAACCAGCTCTGTTTGCTGGTGAGTTCACTATCAACAGTGTAGAAGAAATCAAAGACACTTATCTATCATTCAATGGTTGGGGTAAAGGAGTTGCATTTGTCAATAAATTCAACATCGGAAGATATTGGCCGGTAAAGCTTTGTTATCCGTAAAGCTTATCCAATGTACAGAGCAGTGGAGTTTGTCCTTACACATGCCTCTTTTTTTTTGTTTTTTTTTTTGCAGTCTGTTGGACCACAATGCAACCTCTACGTTCCTGCACCACTACTTAAGCCTGGCAGAAATTCTGTGGTAATGTCAAACAAGAACATGAAATCTAATATGGGACTGAACCATTTTATTATTTTGTAAATTGGAGAGTCTCTATACGTTCCTCATTGCATCTTTCCATGACTTAGATTTGCTGAAAACTAAATTTTCAGGTGATCTTCGAGTTGGAATCTCCACATGTCGACCTTTTGCTGGAGTCAGTGGATAGGGAAAACTTCACATGCGGTTCAAATGAATACAAAGTCAATCAGTTGTAGGAGTTCAGTTGTGCAGTGGCCAGCATAAACTCCTGATAACAGTCCTGAACTCCTGATACTCTCCAATCCGCATAAACCAACGTTTTCAAACCCGGGCCTGATCAGGTTAAACCGCGAACCTGAGACCAATTCGTGTTGGATTAATAGAAAATCCCAGTTAAAGTAGAATTGGTTAAAACCCTGAAAACCGGCAACACAATGAACCGGTCAAATTTATATGTTCGTATTTAAACCAAAATATTTGTTAATAAAATAATTAACTTTTCTTCTTTTAAAGTAAAATAGAGTTGGTAAAAAATCAATAAAACAACACCATAACTTCTTTTGCCGCTTCTGCAACTCACAATCACAAAACTCATAAACATAGAATTTTCACGTCAAGGTATTGTTTACGTCTACTTCTCATTTTGTTTAAATATTATCACATGATCAATTGTGTAGAAGACTTTAATAATTAAAAAAACATTCATGAAATTCCAAATTTGAATAAGAGAACAAAGCATTGTACTATTCTTGCTTCTCATTACACGAGGAAATAAACTACATGATTTGTTTTAAAGGTGAAGAAGTTTTGAAGTAACGAAGATTTGGGGAATGAAGTTTAAATATGTTTAGATTTTAACTATTAAACTATTTTATAATTATTATTACATTTGCAGTTTGTTTTTAAGTTTAAAAACATTTTAATTACTGAAGCATTTTATTTGATATGATCTTTTTAAGAAAATAATATGTATATTATTTAAAAATATCATTAAATTGAATTTGGTTGAACCCACTTGAATCCGGTCGAACCATACTGACCCATGACCAAAACATTTTCGGTTTGGTAGCTGGTCCAGTTTTAAAAACATTGGCATAAACATTGGTTAAACTGGTATATTTACAAAAATGAAAAATCATCTCAAATCCATATTTCAAGTTTTTTTCTTTGAATAAACGATCACAAGCCTGATTTAAATTAAATATAATGAATCATATAATGAAAGAGATACATAATTGGAACTTGGTTGGATAATCTGAAGATACTGGAAACTTTATGCATCGTGGAATAAGTTGTTCTCAGAATATAACACGCCGGAGGAAACATAATGATTTTAAAGTTAATTTATTAATATATTATTTTTAATAGTACTTAAAGACATTATATGTAATGTTCATTTATGTTAAGCTTCATCCTGATTTTTTTATATACAAAATCATAATTGATTGACTTTTCCATTGTCAATATACATATATTTAATATTTGTTTTATAGAAAATTTTCCATCAAGTACCCGTTTTACACTTTTATTGCATAGGTACACAAAAAGATGTTTTCGCTTTTTACTTCCCATGAAAACATCAAAAACAGTTTCTAAATACTTACTCTTTGGGGTAAGTAACATCACAAAGTTTATCAAAGAAGTTGAAGAATGTCACTGCGACTTAGCTATACATAAGCTTATTTTCCACATCAACGCTTGCTTCCTAGATTTAGTTGATGTGGCTTATAAGATCATGTGTTGGACAGAATAAATTTAAATTAAAGTATAAACCATATATTAACTAAAATAAAAACCATGAACAACCAAGTAAATATATAAACCCCTTTTATTACACGATTATATTTATTGCCTATTTAAATTACAATTAATCTTTCATCTAATTTATATTTTTTTCTAAATGACTAAATTATATTTTCTTTTAATAATATATAATCTAATCTTTTCAAAAATTTAAATCGTTTTAAAAATTATGTGTGTTTTATCCACAAAACCATGATTTTCATTCAAAAGCAATTTTCCCATCAAAATCACAATATCTTCTAATATCTTGTTTTCTGGCAAATCCATATTTTTTTTTTGTTTTCTTAACTCTAAATCTTGATTTCCATAGAAACCATAATTTTTTATGTAGGATTATAGGAAATGTTCTTTTGTGTTAAGAATTATTGTGAGCTTAATATATATCTAAAGATACATATCTTTTCTTAGAACACCTGCTATTCACGTATCTATTTATGATGTACATGTATCAGTGCAACATAGGTACATAAAAAGATCAAAGACGTCGAATAATCTCAATGCTACATAGCTATGTATAACCTTATCTTCTATACTTGCTTCCTAGATTTTGTTTGTATGGTTTACAAGATCATGTGTAATCTTAAGCGCAAGACCCATGGTTTTTCAAGCAAAGATTAACTTAGTCGTCATCAAATCGTTATAGTTTATTCTCCACCTCATAGATATCTATTATAACAAGAATGAATTAATACATTAATCTCGATGGCCATGATCATTAAATATTAACGAAATCAACAGATGAGTTAAATTATGAGATGTTTTTTGGAGATGTCTAAACAACAAGGATCTTGGAAGGAAGGAATGTATGATCCGAAATTGAATAATATCTCTTGATATACTTAAGTTATGTTATATTGAGAATGCTGACATGAACAGTCAGATACCGAGGCTTTGATATTGCTGATATTGTGTCTATTTCCTATGAAAGTCGCATAGCCATAAGTCTATTGTGTAAGCACTAGAAATATCATAGAAAGAGATGCCTAAACTCAAGTTTTATTATTTGGATGACAAATTATTTTTACTTTTCCTAATTAATATATTTATGGTAAAAAATATGTTAATTCAGTTTCATAATTGAGTTATTTCTTCAATTTTGAGTTATATTTAAGATCTAATTCTTTTTTCTAATCATTTGATCAAAATATACTTAGAGTAGAAAACATATTTTTACAAAAAATTATCTAAATTATTTTTTTGGTTGATTTTGTATGAAATTATGGTATATACAGAATTTATATATTTTATGTATTTTTGGAAAACTATAAAGAAAAATATAATTAAATACGCTAGATGTATAAAACCAATGATTTCCATATATTACAATATTGCCTTATTGGGATTTATGTTGGTTTTTTAAAACGAAAAAAGGAAAAAAAAGTAAAGGCCTGATTAAAAGTATTAAATAACAGGAAATAAAATAGCTTTTATTAATGGTAATTAAGTAAAATAATTAATTAATTACAAAAAACTTCGTAATTGACAGTTCTTCGTAATTGACCGTTCTAAGAATAACTTTGTAATTGACTGTTCTAAGAATCAACTAAGAGCAACACATGAAACAGTCCTCTCAAATAATATTATAGAGATGTTATTTAAGAGATTTAAGACCCTTTTCAGTTCTTAATGTTATTGTTTTTAAAATGGAAACACCTGATTTAAGTTATGGTTTATCAAAATGTTCACTGATTGCATATCCTTGTAAAACCAAATACCATCTATTGTATCATCATTACAAGCAGCCATGTTTGTTTGTTTCTATTCACAAGTTTGGTTTTCCTTCTATTTTGTTAAATTACCAAAAGAATCGTATGTAATATGATTTGCTTGAGAAAATTGGTAAGCGTAAAACTGAGTATCAGGTCAGGCAAGGCATGATAATATTCAAACAGAAACCATGATTAACTTCTCACGCAAGCAAACAAAGCCAATTGCCCTAGATAGGATTACACACAGTTCACTAGACAATCTGATTCTATATTTTAATGAATAGAATATCAAAATAACCAGAAAGAGAGACGATTATGCTCTACTACAAACGCTCAATTTAAAAACTAAACACCTGCCTTGTTTCCAAGTCTCTCTCGAAGAATCTTGAGTCCCATGTATCTGCAAAGATTCAAAAATACTCATGTTTATATACTGAAGTAAAAGTAAACCTCTGACCCAATATGTTAGTATTGATTTCTATTTACCTTCCCATCATCATGACCGTGGCTTGAGGGTTAGTTCCCGGAGACTCATCAAACGTCGAACCATCAATAACTCTGAGCCTGTTAACACCGAGAACTTTGCGGTCAGGGCTCACCACTTTACCCACAAGACAACCACCATGATAATGCCAGATTGTGACAACAGTGTCTTTACAGAACTGAGCCATTGACTTGGTATCATTCACTTGCTTTGGTCTTAGATTGATGTTTGCCTTGACGCTTAAGCTAAGCATCTTGTGCACGTTTTGCTTGTCGCACTGTGTGTAGTTTAGGAAACGTTTAGACGTCACAACTTTCGAAACCAAACGAATGGCTTCAACGCAGCGTTGGAGATCCACAGGGTGTTTGAAGTAGTTGAATGTGACTGAAGGGTTGTCATCTACATTTGTGTTGAGTAAACTCAAATGCCCTCTAGAGATTGGGTAAGCTAGCTTCTCCAAGATGAAACTCCCATTGAATGCTTCATGAAGTTGGTACTTGTTTCTTTTGATGTAAGCTTCTGGTCTCCTCTGCTTTGGAGGTATGGTGGAAAACAACTCATTCTGCATAAAGATTCAAAGACCATTTTAAAGAAGGTAATAAAATAAGCTTTATGTAGTTGTATATGGTTACCTTGTCTGACATAACTCCATAGTGAGTATGAATGCTCTCAGGGGATTGACCAAAGCCAGTGCTGGCTTCAACATACACACCCATCTTTGTGATTCCAACGGTTTGTATAAGTGACTGCTCTATAGGCTGCTTTGAAGGCACCAAGATAGTGTTCATCGGATTATCAGCCATTCCTTTCCCTACATGTTCATTCTCTAGAACCAAAGGAATCTTCAGCCTCTTAAGCTCTCTTTTAGGTCCAATCCCACTTAACATCAGCATCTGTGGTGACCCTATGGCTCCACTAGACAATATCACTTCACTTCCCTTTCTGTTCGAGAGCAGAGCTTGGTGTTGGTTACCATTCTCGTCTTTGAATATCACTCCTGTCACTCTAGGTCTTGCTCCTGCATCCAAACCAAAAACATAAACTTTTTTTCAGCTTCTAAAACCCTAAACAGTAATTTTGTGGGAAACTTGGGAGGCACGCAAGTACCAGATGTGTCAAAGACTATCTTTTGCACGGTGGCGTAGATCAAGACTCTGAGCTTCTGAGGGTTAGCGTAAGCGAGAAGCTCCGCGGCGGTGTGACGACGGCCGAACCTATCGAAGATTGTGCCACCGATCTTGGTGCCGGAGACGTGATCGTAAGTGAAGCCATTGAAAGGTCTGACTCCAACCTCTAGAAGACTGTCTCTCAGAGCTTTTTGCCATAACGTTAGCTTCGGCTGATGAACGATCTCTCGCTCCACCCATGGATACGACTCCTTCACTAGCTTCGGATCCCATCCTGCTCGCTTCACGAACCTACACCAAAATCACAGAATAGTTAGAAATAATTTAATTATTTTTATTCCTATCAAATTAAGACGTGGTCGTACTCCCCATGAGCCTATGGCCCATTATTACACAACATTCTC